AATTGAAATTGTTGTAGATGTTGGCCTGCATACTGATTCGTATTGCTTTGGCTGATGTTTTTGGTGGAATGTGTTCGATAATTGCTCTCGATGAGCCAACTACGAACCTAGACGCAATAAAGGTAGGGATAGTTTGGAAGCGTCACTGCCCCTAGATTTGTGAGTTAAGTTGTTAACGCAAAGTGAGGTAAGCCATCGCTTCCCCCTCCAAATTACATGTAACCATCCAAAAGTAAGTAAACTTTTTTTCTTACTCTATTCGGTGCTTTAGGTACATCACATAGCTGCGATGCTTAACAGTCTTGTTGCTGTGCGTAGAAGAGGCTATTCTACGTCTGATGGGCAAAAGAAGCCTTTTCAAGTAAATCTTCATTCCTCCCTCTTTGTCTTTGAAGAGGACACTCTGTAGAACGTATTTTAGATGATTATAATCACTCATGATGACCACCTTGTGGACAAGTTGATGATTGGATCAAAGCCCGAGTTCATCTATGTGCTAGAGAAGGACTCTTATGGGATATCGCATGTGAAGCGACAATTTTCGGACGGGTACGTTTATCCTTGCACTCTTTTAATGTTGGAATTTTGGAGTAGTTTCCGTTAAAGAAGTCATCTAATTCAGAGCAGAATACGTTATCATTTTTATATCAACTTATGCTACACATCCAAAAACGATCACTTTTAGACACTCAGAAGACGCAAACGGTCATATACATGTTCGGCATGGTCGGTAATTTTTTGGAATTCTTCTCGCTGGCTTGAATGGCATTTTGTGCTGATCTCATGTAAATCACCACTATTTCGTGTTCATACGCTTTTTGAAGTTCTTCTTTAACCATTTATGTATGATTTTATCATTCAAGCCTTATGAATAGTGAAGCTTAATAATGTTCGGTTTTTTTAAAAATTAGCTCTAATGTTCCTTATATTCCATTTTCTACACATAGAAGTCTCCTTACTTTCTAACACCGTAAACTTTTTGATTATTTTTTAGCTAAAAATCT